ATAATTTTAAATCTAAACATACCATGAATAAGTAAATAACTGCTCAGTTTTACTCCTTGAGCTGGGAGGTTCTGGTCTTTGGGAATAAGGAAAACCAGTGATCCACCACTAAGGATAGAGGGGACAAGTAGGCAATGTTGAGATATGCTCAGAGCACTCTCTTCTCCTCAACAAGGACTACCTACCCTCAAAGAAAACTATTTTACCAGAGCTTAATTCTGATGGGGTTTTGCCAAAACTCAAATGACCTGGGGAAGGGAAACACCCATTTCCAGCCTCTTTAGACTTTGACATGGGGAAAACAAATATTTAACCTCCGTTCACTAAAAGATTGAGACCTGTTAATACTGCAGCAATAGTGCTCTTGCAAAACAGTAAGGAGTTAAAGCTAAAAGAACTGTAAGGCTCAGATCCCATATCTGGAGACTATCAACACCCAAAGACAACAGGGAACACAAACAAGAACACTATAAGCAATTTTATCCTCTGATATCACAGTTTCAGTAAACACAGCTTAACTCTTGGCAAGATAAACATTAAACTTTACACAAAAGATCTACCTACCTCAGATTCCTTTTATCTGATATATTTTACATTCAATAAAAGTTACACTAAAAGGCAAAATAACAGTCTGGTGAAACAAAGCGAGCATCAGAGTCAGATTCAGAATTGGCAAAGATTTTAGAATTAACAGACTTGAAGTTTAAAATGCTTGTGATTACTAGGCTAAGGACTCTAAGGGAAAAAGTAAACAATATGCAAGAACAGATGGGTGATAAGTACAGCGATGACAATGCTAAAAAAGAATCAAAAGGAAATAGAAATAAAAACACCCTAAAAAATGAATAATGCTTTGATGGTTTCATCAATAGATTAGGCACAGCTAGGAAAGAATTGGTGACTCAAAGGCTTGTCAATATGAACTCCCAAAAGTTAAATGCAAAGAGATAAATGATTTATTTTAAAGATGGAACAGAATATCTAAAGACTGTGAGATAACTTATAAAGGTGTAGCATACACATAATGGGAATACCAAAAAGAGAAGGAAGCAGGAACAAGAGAAATATTTGAACTAATAATAGCTGAAAAATTTTCAAAATTAGTAACAGGCACCAAACTACAAATCAGGAAACTAAAAGAACACTTAGGATAAATACCAGAGACTATATATCTAGGCATATAGAATTCAAACTGCAGAGAATTGAAAACTAAGAGAAAACCTTGAAAGATGTCAGTTATGGGGGCATTATATAGAGAGAAAGAGTAAGAATTACACAAAACTTATCTCCAGAAACTATGCTAGAAAAAGACAGTGGAACGAAATATTTAGTGTTGAAAGAAAAAAATCCACTAAACTAAAATTCTGCATCCAGTGAACAATTCTATGCCTACAAATTTGATAACATAGATGAAATGGACCAATTTCTTAGAAGACACAAACTTCCAAAACTCTCACAAGGATGAAATAGACTATCAGAGTAGGCCTGAATCTAATAAATAGTAATTAACAACCTGCCTTTAAGAGCTCAAAGCCCATTCAGTGGTGAAGTTTACCAAACATTTAAGATAGAAATTCTCTACAATATTTTCAGTAAAATATGGTGGAAATATTGAATACTTTCTAGCTAATATTATAAGCCATCAGTGAGTGAAGACTAAAACCAGACATAGACATTATAAGATAGGAAAGCTATAGACCAATATTTTTCATTAATATAAATTTAAAAGTTCCTTAACAAAATATTAGCAAATAAAATTCAACAATATATAAAATGAATTATACATATTACCAAGTAGGATTTATCCCAGGTATGTCAGACTGTTTTAACATTGAAAACATATTAATGTAATCCATATCATCAACCCTAAAAAAGAAAATGATATGATCATATCAATAAATGCAGAAAATTCATTTGACAAAATCTAACATCTTCTCACAACTCTCAGCAAATAAGGAAATGAGGAACATCCTCAACTTGATAAATAACATCTACAGAAAACCAACAGTTAACATCAAACTTAATGCTGAGAAGTTAAATGTCTTTCCCCTGATATAGATCAAAAGGGAAGGCTATACCTCTCACCACATGCCTATTCAACATCATACTAAAAGTCCTAGCTAAAGGAATGAGATATAAAAAGAAAATAAAAAGCTAAGAAATTGAGAAAGAAGAAATAAAACTATCCTTTTTTTTCTTTTTTGGCATGTGACATGATTGTCTATGAAGAAAAACCCAGCAAATTGACAAGAACAAGACAACTTCCTGGAACTAATAAGTGATTATTTTCAAGATTGAAGCATCTAAGATTGTCATAAAAAAGCCACTTGCATTCCTATAAGCCAACAATGAACAATTGGAATTTGAAATAAAAAACCTACCATTTACATCAACACCAAAATAATGAAATACTTGAGTATAAATCTAACAAAATAATACAAAATCTATAGAAGAAAAACTATAAAACTCTGAAGAAAGAAACAACTAAATAAATGGAGAGATATCCCATGTTGAAGGATAAGAACATTCAACATGCTTAGATGTTAGTGTGTTCCAAATTGATCAACAAATTCAACATGATCACAAGTAATATCTCAGCAAGTTATACTGTCTACACCAACAAACTCATTGTAAAGTTTACATGGAAATACAAAAATCAAGAATAGCCATTTTAATACTGAGAAGAACAAACTAAGAGGACTGACCCTACCTGGCATCAAAAATTCCTATAAAACTACAGTGATCAAGATATTGTGTTACCGGAGAAATAATTGACAAGTTGATCAATGCAACAAAATAGAAAGCCCAGAAGTAGGCCCACACAAGCATCTGATCTTTGACAAAGGAACGAAGACAATAAAATAGAGCTATGATAGCCTTTCAACTAATGATCCTGGAACAACTGGACATCCACAATAAAAAAAAAAAAAGGAAGACATGTGCTGCAGATCTTATGCCTCTCACAAAAATTAACTTAATATGGATCACAGGTCTAAATACAAAACACAAAGCTCAAAACTTCTAGACAATACACAGGAGAAAATCTAGTTGTCCTTGGATTTGACAATGAGTTTTTAGGTAACACCAAAAGCATTATCCATGAAGGAACAAATTGAACAGTTTGACTGGTAAAATTAAAAATTTCTGCTCCATGAAAGACTTTCAAAAGAAAACCAAAAGATTCAGAGAAAATACTTGCAAAAGATATATCTGAGAAAAAACAGTTTAGCCAAAACATACAAAGAACTCTTAAAATTCAACAATTTGAAAATAAGAAACACAATAAAACTGAGTGAGTTAGACAGATAATTTGCCAAAGAAGACATATTTATGGCAAATAAAGCATATAAGAAGTCTGGCAGACTATATCAAACAAGAATTGAACATTATGAGATTTACAATGAGATGCCACTACACACCTACTAAAAGGACCAAAATCCAAATCACTGACAATATCAAATGCTGGTGAGAACAGACTCTTGTTCATTGCTGGTGAGAATACAAAATGATACACTCACTTTAGAAGACAGTTTGGCAGTTTTTTATAAAGCTGAATGTGGTTATCACTACACTATCCAGTAATTGTGCTCCTTGATATTTACCCAACTGGTATGAAAACTTATTTGCACACAAATGTTATAGCAGTTTTATTCATAATTGCAGACACTTGGAAATAACCAAGTTGTACTTCAATAGCTAAGTGGATAAACTTGGTATATACATAGAATAATATTTGGAGAGAAAGAAATAAGCTATCAAGCCATGAAAAGACATGGAGAAAGATTAAATATGTAGTGCTGAATTATGGAAGCCAGTATGAAAAGTTATACTGTGTGATCCCAGCTATACAACATTTTGGAAAAGGCAAAAATATGGAGACAGTAAAAAGATGAGTTGTTAAAAGGATTTCTGGAGAGGAGATGAATAGATAGAGCCTAGGGTATTTTTATGGCAGTGGAATTATTTTGTATGATACTAGAATGGTGGATACTACATTATTGTATTGGTGGAAGTAACATCAAGTGACATTATGCTTTTGGAAAAATCCATAGAACCATACAACAGAAAGACTGAAAGGTAATGTAAACTGCAGACTTAATTAATTAATTGTACAAAATGTACTATACTAATGCAAGTTGTTAATAAAAGGGAAAATTGTATGTGGCTTGATGAGACAGGGTATATAGGAACACTGTTCAGCTTTTCTGTATACCTAAAACTACTCTAAAGTCTACCAGTTTTAAAAAATCAATGTTATTGTACTCAGATGTCCCAATTTGTAAAAACGTCAGATGTGTGCACACAAATTTCAAGGATGTTTTCTCCATAGAAATGCAAAGTTAGGCTGGGTGCAGTGGCTCACACTTATAATCCCAGCACTTTGGGAGGCCGAGGTGAAAGGATTGCCTGAGCCTATGGGTTCGAGACCAGCCTGGGCAACCTGGCAATACCTAATCTCTACATTAAAAAAAAAAAAAAAAATTAGCCAGGCATGGTGGTGTGTGCCTGTAGTTCCTGCTACTTAGAAGACTGAGGGGGGAGGATCGCCTGAGCCCAGCAGGTTGAAGTTGCAGTGGCTGGGAACGTGCCACTGCCCTCCATCCTGGACAAGAGGTGAGACTCTATCTCAAAAAAAAAAAAGAAAGAGAAGAAAAGAAAAGAAATGCAAGGTTAATATACTAATCACTTTTTTATTTGGCGTTTGTATGTGTTTTCATGCATTAGTCATGTAATTTTTAACATCTAGCTTCCTCCCTATCCACTTCAGATGAATCCTGCTGGATACAGATATTACTCGTTTATATTTTCTAGTATTTGGGCTATTTCACAGCCATAGTAATAAGAGATATTTGTATGTATATATATTTATCTTGGCAGCTTTGAGGTTAAAACGCATTCTGTGGGAGGCATAGTAGAATCTCCTCATTGCTCCTCTTCCACGTTGTCCTACACATCTTTTATTGTAGATGAAAAATATTAGAATAGTAGAAAATAGTAAAATGAGCATCGTTTGCACATATCACACATATTTAACCATTCTTCACTTTTTTTTAACCATGCTCACTTTCTCTAATAGTTTTTCTTAGTTATTTTACAAATATCACTTTAAACTACAAATATGTAACTGTAAATGCTTCAGTGTGTATCTTTTGCCTATAAGAGCAATTCCCTACCTCTCCCAACATCACACGAAGAAAATAATGATTTTTCTTAACATTTCTAACGTCCAGTCTCTAATTCATGTTTCTGCGGCTGTTGGTGTCTGTTGCAGCTTTCTGCTCCAACCACGCACTGCAGGGGGTCGTGATGCCCACACCTCTGAGGATCTGGGCAACACCTGGGCAGCCATGACCCGACCCACGGCTGAAATGAGAAAACACGCCCACCCTGGACGAAAGGGTTGAAGGGAATGGTAGTTCCCGACGACGGGTGCCTGCCCCGCAGCACTCTGGGAAGGGGTCCCCGGCGCCCACTCTGCGCGGGCGCAGGCCCAGTCCCGCCCCCCAGTGTCCGTCCTCTGGGCTCGAAAGGCAAGCGTCCGCGTTCTTAGGTCTGCGTGGGAGTGGAGGCCGCGCACCTGGGGTGAGAGCGCCGGCGTCAGGGCTCCGCTGGCCCAGGGGCCTCGGGATGGATGGGCCTGCGTGCCGGGGGCGGGCGCCGGCCGCCACCGGGAGCCTCGGGCTTGGGCTCCTCGCCCCCCTTCCTGGTTCGCCGGGCCGCGGGCGGAATCGCAGCGGGCCGGGGGGAGCGGGGGAGCGAGAGAGGGCCGGGTGAAGAGGGGAGGGGACCGGGCCGGGGCGAGGGGCTTGGGCGGTGGATCCGAGGGGGGTCATTGCTCATGCTGTGGTTGTGAGAAGCGAATCGGTCGTCCTTGGTCAGACGGATCGTCAGGTGCCCACGACCGTCTCAGTGTGGCATGGAAGCGGCTGTTGTCAGGAGACACCTGTCTGTCCTCGTCCTTGAACGTCCATTGAACCCTCGCAGCGAACCTGGTGGTCGTTATACATTTGCCATTTTATTTTTATTTTTATTTTGTAGTGCAGGGGATTTCACGAGGGTGGACACCCCAAGGCACAAGCTAGGAGGTGAGAGGGTAGAAGGCGCATCCAGGTGGGCTTGACTCCCTGTCTCTTGCTCTTCCTGATAGCAGACCTCCCTGAAACCCGGAGCTGCCAGTACCTGCCTGAAACCTTGGGAGCACTTATTCAGAGGGGTCAGTACTCAGATCTCCCTACATGACTGTGAAGTGAACGTGGACAGATCTCACCAAGTGGTAACTCTATCCTGAGATTTGTGCAGTCTCCAGTTCCATGGTTTCGACTGAGGCTCCTGGACCCTCCAGCACGGTTGAGGCTGCCTCTTCCCTCAAGGGCACAGATTCCTATTCGGGGGCAGTGAAGTCCAGTAGAAAGTCGATGAAAAACACAAGCCTCACTTAGAATTTTTCAGCAGCTACAGTCAAAAGAGGCAGGCAGACTCAACTTTGCTGATGTGTTTTCCTTGAGTCATTACATTCAAAATGTTATCTTGACTTGGGGCGCAGGCCACACTTATGGTGTTCAGTGGTTGCATGCAGATGGCCATAGTATCGGATAGTACGTTTCTGGTGAATTCCAAAAGAGTCAGGCTTAGGGTGCTAGATGATAGTTGCAGGTAAAGTGAATTTGTTTTGCAGGCCCAAGTCCCAGCCCTTCTAAAAGAAAGTAACTTATAAGAGGCTGGAAAGAGGGAGTCCATGGCAGGTCCTGCCACTGAGAACGGTCGTTTGACAGAGACCTGTTCCAGAGCTTCAGGGCAGAGGCAGAAGATCCTAGAAAGGCGCAGGTTCTGATTTGCTTCACCTGAGGCAGTTCTTGGTTCCTTACGTAGCATGAGTAAGACTTATAATGTTACCACATTCAGGAGCTGTTACAGACCAGGTCACCAGGGATAATGTGAACTAACTTCCAGAAGGTGGTGACCTGGGGTTGAGAGGGTTGAGTGTCAAGCTGAAGAGAAAAAGGTACTTTACTAGAGGGCTGGTGAGGCCATGGTATCCAGAGAAGATGTAGTCAGCTGACAAAATCCTAAACAACCCCCCATTTCCTTCATTTTCCCTTTACTTTTCCTGCACTTGAGTAGCTGTCACATCACGTTCATTACTTCATGTGGCATTTAGAATTATGTTGACACTACTTCTTTCTTGAACATAGATAATAAAATGATACCAGAGGGAGAGAGTTTTCTATGCTGGAAACCCCAAAATATGAGGGGGACCACCCCCAAAAATCAGTTATCTTTTGGAGGGCAGACAGACCCCTTGTAGTCAGGCTTTTCCCACTAGGTATTTGTTCTAGGAACCCATTATCATCAATGTACCAGCTAGCATTGTTGTGAGAGGCTGTGTTCGGCTTCAGTTATTACAATTTTTTTTTTTTTTGAGACTCAGCACATTCACCCATTTCATTATGTTGGCTTATGAATGCACTTGCTCACACCTCCCTGAGTATTCATTAGTATTTGACTAAAAATGTCATGCCCACCATACCCCACCCTCCCTATTCACCTGATCTCACCCAGAGTGAATTTTTCTGTTTCTCTGGGAAAAAGTCTTCAAAGGGAAACATCTTGCGGGTGTGGAAGAGGTGAAACAAAAAACAGCAGGAGCACTAAAAGGCACCAAAATTGACGAGTCTAGAATCTGTTTTGAGCAGTGGAAAAAGTGTCTCGATAGGTTTCTTGCATCAAATGAAGAGTGCTTTGAGGGTGACTGAAATTTGAACAAGTAAGAATAAGTACACAATTTTTTAAATAAATAAATTCTTGGGTTTTTGGGTTCCTCCTCTTATGGGGCCTGAAATTAATGATTTGTGTATAGTCACCCAGGGCAGACCCAGGAACTAAGCATGGTGCTGTTCACACACAGGTGAGTGTCATAAGCATCTTATCAAAAGGTCTTTTTTAAGAATCAGCAACCATTATTGAGCCAAAAGTTGAAAAACATATTCCTTGTATAAAACGTTTCATCTTCATTTTAGAGTTTTCTGTGGAAGCTCTAACTCAGGGTGTAAAGACAGTAATAATTTGCTTACTAATCTTGCCTGAGTTGTTTTTTTGGGGGGATATTAGGTTGAATGAGGATAGAGGTTTTCACCTCTGTGAACCTGAACATGTTAAGTTAATCTTCTGTTGTATTATTTTTACAATTTTGTCAGGTAGTCACATGGAACATAAATTGTTAGTAAATTAACAAAATATAGTTTTTACCACACCCAGTGAAAAATGTAGGGTTAAGTGGACTTCATATCAGACATGAATGCGTTCAAGTGCTGCTACCTTTGTGTGGTCCTTCTGTCCCTTTTCAAGAGTCAAAGTGACATTCCCTATTGGGAAACCTTTTCTCCAGTTGGGTGTGATGAGAATTTGAGGCAGGTGAATGCAGACACGTCTCGATAATGATGGGATTACATAGCCGTGAAACCATTGTAATTGTCATAATTGAGAACTCTGTCGAAAGGAACTATAAGGCAGAACAAGTCTCCCATGGCCTCCTTGTTGTTTCCTCTTCTCCAGGTGAACCTTCACAGGCCTCTACTTGCTTCCAGAAGCAGCAGAAAATGAACATGGTTCAGGTGAGTTTGGTTCTTAATAATCAGTTTGTTTTACAAATTCTTATAAGGGATTTTTAAGGACTTTGTAAGGGTTTATGTATCTATTTTAATATGAAAAAGTAGAGACAGAAATGGATAAGACACATTCATAGAAGATACAGAAATAAGGTTAACAGAGCAAAGGCAGCATGTGGATAGATAGATGCAGGTCCTCTGCTGGTACACATTTACCAAATTGAGCTCCACATTTATTTCTGAGGTTTTTAATTACCTTGGCAGAGGGTCAGACATTACATAATGGTTTACATTGATGAGAAAGATAAAGCAAACTGATTCCTCATGAAATATAAACATAAAGATAACCTGATGTAATTGTTATTCTACAAGTAGGTGATTTAGTAATGACTCATTACATAGCATAGAATGTTTTCTTTACTTTTTCCTCGATAAGAGTAGAAAATGGCATGTTGAGCACTAACTCACTCGTTACTCACTTCTCAAGAATTCAAACACGGGGTTAAATTAGACATTTTTGCAGTGAATCAACTGAATGACTTTAAAAATCACACTCCATAAATATTCTGAGTATCCATGATATTCAGGTTGTTTAGCAGATGATTTAAAATTCTGTTCTTTTTCAGATGTCTCCACACTTTGCATTCAACTTCAAATGTCTGTGTGACACCTTGGTTTTTCTTCCCACTTGCCTGTGGCTTCCAGTGACCCTACTGAATTGTAATCAAATCCGGTGGGCATTGTCTTATCCTTTCCTTACTTGACTTTTCTTCACCACTTGCTTCTGCTTCTACTCTGTCCTAGAATTTTTCTCTGTGAGTGATACTTTCCACTGGCCTGTCCTTCCCCTGCTGCCATCTCCATGGACTCACCATCTCCTCTTGTCCTACTGACTTTGAATATGTCATCCTATTGCCTTCTGTTCTTCATGGTTTCTCGTTTGAAATCAACTTTGAATATGATAGGCTGTTTCTCCCTTGCTGCTTTCAAGATTATCTCTGTCATTGGCTGTTTTAAAACTTTGATTATAATGTATCCAGGTGTGGATTTCTTTCTCCAAGATTATCTTACATGTAGTTGAGCTTTTGGATTGTGTAGATTAATCATGTCCTTCAAATTTTGGAACCTCTTGGCCACTGTCACTTCAAAAATTGTGTTTGACCCTTTCTGTCTCCCTTCTCTGTCCTGTACTCTCATTATGCATATGTTGGTAAGCTTGATGTTGTCCTATGGTTCATTTTTTTGTTATTACTTTTCTCTTTCTGTTTCTCACTGCACAGTCTCAATGGACATGTTATCTTAATTGCTTCACTCTTTGTTTCACCTACTCAGCTCTGCTATTGAATGGAATTTTTTGGTGAAATGATCATTTTAGTTATTTTATTCTTTAATTTTAGAGTTTCTGTTTGGTCCCTTTTTATAATGTCTGCCTCTTTATGTCTTTATTTGGTGACATACTTCCCTTCAGTCCTTAGATATCATTTCCCTTAGGTCTTTAACTACATTTAAAATAACTGATTTAAAGTCATTGTCTAGTTAAGTACAATATCTGCTTCCTCAGGAGCAATTTCTGTTGGTTACTCTTTTCCTGTATATGGGTCTTTTTTTTTTTTTCTTGTTTTCTAATTTTTTCTTTTTTTTTTAGATGGCGTCTCACTCTTTGCCACCCAGACTGAAGTGCAGTGGCATGCTCATGGCCGCTGCAGCCTCGACCTGCTGGGCTCCAGCAGTCCTTCCGCTTCAGCCTTCCAAGTAGCTGTAACTACAGATGCACACCAGCCTACTTTTTGTGATTTATTGTAGAGACGAGGTCTCGCCAAGTTGCCTATGGTATTCTCGAATCCTTGGACTCAGACAATTCTCTCACCTTGGTCTCCCAAAGTGCTGGGATTACAGGCTGAGCCACTACGCCCGGCCTTGTTTTATAATTTTTGTTGTTGAAAACAGGACATTTTAATAAAATATGGCAACTCTAGAAGAATTTCTCTCCTTCCAGGGGTTGTTGTTGAAATTTGTCCAGTTACATTTTTTTTTAGTTGGAGTCTCATTCTGTCACCCAGGCTAGAGTGAGGTGGCATGTTCACTGCCACTGCAGTCTCCATCTGCTTGGCTCAGGCAATCTTTCTGCTGCAGCCTTCCAAGTGGCTGGCACCATAGGTACATGCCTCCATATCCGGCTTATTTTTTTATTTATTGTAGAAACAGTGTCTTCCTACGTTGTCCAGGCTGGTCTCGAAACCCCTGGGCTTAGGCAATCCTCTTGCCTCTGCCTCCCAAAGAGCTGGGATTATAGGCATGAGCCACTGTGCCTGGCCTGTCCAGTTACTTTTTAAAACTAATTCAGTACTGCCTGTATTTGTTGTGTGTGGCAGCTGAAGTCTCTGCAGAAATTTTCTTAATGCCTGAAACCAAGCAAATGACCCAGTCTTTTCCGGGGGGACTTGTGAATGCTGTGGCATATCTCCAGCATTAATCCTGGCCATTTACAACTCTGTATTAGTCTTCACTTCCTGCTTTCTCCAAACCTTAAGGTCACTCAGAAGTGACAGCTTAGAGCCTTCTCTTGTCCTTCCTGAGCATATCCCAGTCCTGGGCATATTCTCAGCTCAGTGTACATAGGTGGGCTTCTAAATTCTCAGGAATATATCAGAGTTTTTCAACATCTTTATGGACATTTCATCCTCCACCTTGTCCTTTAAATAAAGTTTTTTGTTAGGTGATTACTTACCCCAAGTAAATAATCCACCACCCCAGGTAGCAGGTAAGTTAAAGTTGCCTTTGTATGTTTTTGACTAATGACTTGGAGCACAGGTTTTTCATCCTGGGTGAAAACTCTGAGTTAGTTCATTAATCAGCTTTGCAAGTGAGGTCTTCAAGGGAACCATCCTATTAAGTCAAATAATGATAGTTTTCTGGGAACAGGCCTTTGACAAGTCTAACCCACTTCTGCCTCCTCCAGTGCTTGCCAGGCTGCTGGTTTTTGCTCTTATCTGAGATGATTTGTTCTCAAAGCTAATGTGGAAATGGAGAGAGATGGATGAAAATAGGACAAGTCAAGATGATGCAGAACTATGGTTCTCCCAATGTTGCAACCTTTTTAAAAAACATTTTCAATTTTTTTTTCAATTGAAGTCTCACTGTGTCATCCATGCTGGGGTGATATGGCTACTGCACCCTCAACCTGCTGGGCTCAGGCGATCCTTCCAACTTAGCCTTCCAAGTAGGTGAAACTATAGCGTGTGCCACCACGCCCAGCTAACTTATTGGTTTATTGTGAGAGAAGGTTTTGCCAAGTTGCCCAGGCTGTTCTTGAACCCCTGGGCTCAGGCAGTTTTCTGGGATTACAGGCATAATGTATAAATTATTTTTGTATAAATATTCTTGTATAGATTGCTTGAGGCCTTTGATTAGCTTGCAAAAAAAAAGTTGATTCTGTAATTGCTGCCAGTTTCTCATTACTTTTATGGAAGAGATAATTTTCTCAGCTTCAGTATTTTTGCTGACATCACTTGTTAGCTTGAATTTGAAGTCTTTTGGTATAGAAACTTTCCCTTTTCTTAGTTTCTAAGACTTTATCCTCTGGATTCTATTACTATTTTTCAGAAACCTTCTTCTCTGACTTCTTTCCTGTACATATTCTGCCAGCCTCTTTAATATATGTGGTCCTCAAGTGTTTTTGTTTTGGTACTTTTTCCTCAATCCCAATGTGCTCAAGGAGCTGTCTGATTGTCTCTAATAACTTCAGTTACCAGCTAGAGTGCTAATGACTCCTAAGTGTTTGTTTTCATCCTAGACTTGCCTTCTGTGCTCTGAAATCATGTTTATTGGTTTAATGGGCAGTTCCAGCTTTATGTCTCACACACCCCTTCAAGCAACTGAACAGTCTCTCACTCAAACGTCTCACACATTTTTCTTTGTTCTCAATTGTCAGTTTGACACCATCAAGAAGCTGATTATTTTGAAACATACATTATATTATTATTAACTAGAGTCACCATGCTGTGCAGTATCTTGAAAACTCATTCCTCTTGTCTGATGGAAGTAGTGTATCCTTTGACCAACATCTCCTGTTCCTCTCCCCCTCTCCCCCAGACTCAGGTAACCACCATTCTATTCTTTCTTTACTTATATGCATTTTACTGTCTTACTTTCCATATATAACTGAGATCTTATTTGAATGATTTGTCTTTGTGTCAATTAAAAACAAAATAAACAAAAAACAGAGAGAGTGGCTTCTCACACAGCTAGACTAGGTTACTACATCAAGCCATAATCATCAGATGGTTGCTGCTTCTGCTCTGTGATTATATCCTATTCTTATGTCGATTGCTGTTACTTCAGTGTACATAGTGGTTTGTTACTATGGTCTCATTGGTTCCAACTTCTTTGTAAGCTGTTCCTTGTTCTTCATGAACTCTAGATTTCTCTATTTTCATATACTTACTTATTCATAAGTTTGGTCAGTTATCTCTCTAGTGTTCACATATCTTTCTTCCTTGGCTCCCAGTATTTACAGGGATGATGTTCAAGGAGGGTGTGAACTTCTTAGAGAATACAATCATCCAGGGAATGTGCAAGAAGAGTTGTACAAGGTTCCATGACATTGAATTTTTCTGTCTTAAAAACATCTGGAATTCATAAATATATGTAGATGCAGTATGGTAAGTTCGAAACCCTTTAAACTAGCTGAGTGACAAGTTTTAAGATGAAATTTGGTCCAAAATAAGCCTGTATAACCAACTGTTTTTGAGCCTCAAGAGTAACCAGGAAAAGTTCTCAGGTATTTTCTGTGTCACCTAATTCCAAGACCTTCAACAAAATATGTTGCTGAAGGGATCCATGTCATTCAAGGACATGACCGTGGAGCTCACCTGGGAGGAGTGGCAGCAGATGGGCCCTGGGGAGCAGAGCCTGTACAGGGATGTGATGCTGGAGAACTATGACCACCTCGTCACAGTGGGTGAGCGGTCCTGCCGCAGGACTCCTTCTGTAACATGTTTGCTTTTTTTTTTTAACTATAAAGACACACAGATTCTTTATAGAGATTAAAGGCTTCATAGACTTTGGACTAAAAGGTCTAATGTAATTGAAGCCTTTACAGAAAAAAAACAGTTTTTGTCATTTTTCTCCCTTTGAATACACCAGATGAATATTCTCAGTTAATGCTTTTATAGCTGTGTCTTTTTCCATCCAAGTGCTCATGATTCTGGTCCATTTATGCCCTCAGT